ATTTGTGTAGTCAACAGATATTTTATTGAAGCCATTCAGGCACTGTTTTAGATGCTGCAGATACAGACAGCTCATAAGATAATTCATAAGTCAAGAATAGCTCATTTTATAGAACATCTTGAGTGGGGAGATACATAAAAGGCAAATAGATAAATGAACAAAGTGCTTTTAGGTAGTGATTAAATGCAGAAAGAAAGTAAAACTGAGTGATATTGGTATCACTGATGGAAAAGTATGTGTCATGCACGGATGACTTTAAATTGGGTGGTCGACAGAGTCCTCTAAGTTGCTTATTAACTTTAGGCTGATAATTGGATGGCATAAAGAGCTAGGCATGCGAAGATCCGGGTCCAACTTCTCAGGTGGAGGACAGTGCAAAGTCGCCTAGGCTGAAAGGAGTTTGTCATATTCAAAGAACAGAGAGTGAAAGACAGAGGGAGGAAAGTCAAACACATGGGAGAGCTCACAGGGCTCCAGTTCACAGAAAGCCCTGTAGGTCCTCAGAAGTTTGTAGTAATATTATATGCATTATGGGAACCCATTGCAGGATTTTAAGCAGGCAAGTGACCTGATCTGATACATGCCTTGAAAAGATCACTATGCCTATTATGTTAAGGATGAATTGTAGGGCAGCAGATGTGACAACAGAGTCCAGTTAGAAGGGTATATGCTGTTAGAAGGTATATGCTGAAGTCTAGGCAAGAGATTATTGAACTAGAAACTGAGATGGTAGCGCTGGGGAGTAAGTAGATAGAATTGAAATGGGTATTTGGAAGCAGTTCATGAATATCAGCACTAAGGGAAAGAATCACTTAACAAAATGAGGATAATGGTATATCCCATAGGGTGTTATCACAAGAGCTAATGCATGTCAAGTATTCGGCATCCTTTTTGACACATGAGAGCTTACAAACTGTTACTTACCATTGTTATTTTTATTATTGTCAAGAATAGGGCATTGTCTTTGAGCAAAAAGGGTTTTTCTGTAGAAGTTAAATAATACGAGTACAACTCAGATTGGATGTCTGTTAAAACACACAGTGGGTATTGGTAAAGATCAGAGAATTAGTCTTAATTTTTAGTGACTTTTGCTGGGATCAGAGAGAGAAGATTTATTGATTTCCTTCTTTACTTCATAACACTGAGCCATAAATATATGTATAAGTAGCAAGTATGTGTAAATGGCAACATTATTTCTTTAAAAAGTTGTGATTTAGCTATTTTTTAAACATGTGCTAGTTTGATGAAGTGAGACACTGAAAATCTTGTCTGCAAGTATGTGTCTGTAATGCTTTTGCTTAGGGACTATTTTCCTACAAGTGAATTAATGTTAAGTTTCTTCAAATTCTATGTAGTTCTTTGACTGTGATCCTAATTACTACTTTTATTTTGGTTCTTTAGACCCAAATAAGCAATTCAGTTATAGGGATAATTATGACTACAAACTTCGTGAAACAAAGGTCTTGTATAACCAACCATCAAAGATAATGAATTCTGTTTATGGGTAAAAATAACGTATAAGCATTTAGCATTGTCAAATGATGAATGAGCAATTTTGATTTGTACTCAATAGAACAGGTAGAATATACGTTTCAAGTAAACTTTATGTTTTAAGTAAAAGTTCCTGATTACTAAATTTCTAAGTAGTTTAGATAGAGGACTGTTTTGTGTTGTGGATAACAAAACCTCTGATTTAATACATTTCATAAATTCAAACCCAAATTAAATGAGCTAACTTCTGGGGTACCTGGGTGGCTCAGTTGGTTGAGTGGCCAACTCTTGATTTCAGCTTTGGTCATGATCCCAGGGTCGTGGGATTGAGTCCCATCTTGGGCTCTGGATGAGCGTGAGGACTGCTTAAGATTCGCTGTCTGTCCCTCTGCCCCCTCCCCCGCTTGCACGTGTGCTCTCTTTAAAACAAAACAAAACAAAACAAAACAAAAAAGATAACTTCTTTATTGTCTTTACTGATTTTGACTATTCACCTATACCTTTTTATTTTTATTTTTTTTTAACATTTATTTATTTTGAGAGAGAGAGAGACAGCGTGTGAGCAGGGGAGGGGCAGAGAGAGAATCTGAAGCAGGCTTCAGGCCCTGAGCTGTCAGCCCAGAGCCCAGTATGGGGCTAGAACCTATGAGCAAAATCATGACTTGAGCCGAAGTTGGATGCTCAACCTATTGAGTCACCCAGACGCCCCCACCTCTACCTTCTTTTATAAACATATATGTGTTACACACTTACACATATTTTATACCAAATTGTGTTTTTTATGTGATAATTAAGAAAACAGATAAAGAGAAGAAAAGGAAACTCTGTAATGCCACTACTTAGTGATTTAGTCCTTTTTTCTGTGTTTCAAATATATGTGTATATATATTTTTTGTCCTGTATTTTGTTTTGTATATATTTTAATCTAAAAGACCAATCTAAAAATACTTTTCCATGTTGTTTTCTATAATACCCTGTTTTTTTCTTGCACGTATGGTTTATACTTTTTTAATGATCTTAACTGCAGTAAAATACACAAATTTAAAATTGAAAAAATTTTATTTTTAAACAAAATTTACCATTTTAGCCATTTTTTAGTGTGTAATTCAGTGCCATTAAGTATAGTCACAGTGTTCTATAGCATCCTTTTAGTACAGGATGATGTTATATGAAAAACCGTCATTTATTTAACAGATACTTTATTGTTGGACATGTGAATTGTTTCCATGATTGTCCATAAATAGTGCTTTGATAAACATCTTGTGCAGAATCTTTGTTCAGATAATGCTATATTTTTTTCTAAAATGTACCAGGCAGCCCTTTCTCTCTATGGGTCCTGTCCCTATGCTTTAATAAAACCACTTTTTTTGCACCAAAAAAAACAAAACAAAATAAACGAAGTATGATACCAGTTTGCACTCACATTATCAGTGTATGAGCACAATTCCATTTCTTCACCCTCTTACTGATACCAAGCAGTTTCTGTTTTTGTTTTTTATATTTTAGATCTAAAAGTGTTAGTAAAAAGTAAATACACACTTTGCTCTTTTGCTTCAAAGTTGTAATGGATACTTTTTTAAAAAGTATCCATTTTTTTATTAAAATTTTTTAATGCTTCATTTATTTTTGAGAGGCACAGAGTACGAGCTGGGGACGGGTAGAGAGACAGGGAGACACAGAATCTGAAACAGGCTCCAGGCTCTGAGCTGTCAGCACAGAGCCCTACGTGGGGCTTAAACTTGTGAACTATGGGATCATGACCTGAGCCAAAGTCAGACATTCAACTTATTGAGCCACCCAGGTGCCCCTGGATACTTTTTAAAATGCCAGGTGATAAGTTTAAAAATATCTATTTTAACCTATTTGTTAGTGAAGAAAGGAAATTCAGTCTCAAGTATTATTAATGCATTGATTAGGGAAATGTGAGTTTGCCATGGAGGCTTTATTCAAACCATAGAGGGAAAATGATGCAATCTTCATGAGCAAGGAAAGTATGTGTGGCTCAGTGGCAGAGTAAGGTTATGCTAGTAGGTAGTAGGGTGAGAAGCACGCTGAAGTTAGAGAAATAAACAGAACCTAACATCTATAAAGTTGAGCAGATATTAAAAAACAAACAGCAAGATGGTGATATTTACATTAGCATGTATCCTCTACTTTGGGTATTACAAAGGTAGTAGTACAAAATTGACTTCTTTTCACCCAAAATTTTCAGCTTAATTTGAAGGATATTTTCTACAGAAACCCACTTCCGACCTTGTAATACGTATCTGTGGAAACATAATCTTTTACTTTGAAGACTTTTTCTTAGAGCCTGCTCTCCTGAATTAAATGAATTTCTATAGATAGTATGGGGAACATTATCTTGAAATAAGTCTCTTTTTTTCAATTTTCCTCATAGTTCTCATTTAGTTTATTTATGCATAAAATGGGGAAAGATATGATGGTTTTATTCTTTTAGTTTTATTTATGATGCCATTTTCTAAACTACATTACACAGTAAGTAATAGCATAGAGGTATTGATACTTAGAGAGTAAGACCAAATAAAATTTAAAGTAGCAAAGGAAGAATCCTTAATAAAGTGTATTAGCTTATAAAGATAAAAATACTAATGCTTATGGTTTCCTTTCTTTTTAATCCATAACAACGTAACTTATAATTTCATCACTGTACTAAAATTTAAAATTGTCAGCAGCTTTTTTTCACTTTCTAAATCCTCATCATGCTGGACTTTGCATAATGTTGTTGCCCTTTGACTTTTATAATGTACTTTCTTCATAATCTTCACCTTTCTCAGCATGTGCCTAGTTCTTATACTGCTTCTGATCCACTCTGGCTCCGTCCCCCACTTTTTCTGTCTGAAAATTATGATACTTCTCACTAGTTTTCTGGTTCTGCATTTCCAAATGCCTCTGTTCGGGCTTCTTGGTCATATTATTTCCTTAGAGTTACTAAATCCAGGCTTGCAATATTTTAGTTTGGTCCTAATTCCCAAGAGTAGAGTGTTTTGCCATTATTTTTAATTCTTCCTTTCCTAAGATCTTGTAACCAAACTATTACACATATTTCTAGTATCCCTATGTTCTTCTCTATAAGGTTGTAATTTGTCTTAGATTTAGTTGTCAGCTGTATTTAAATAACCTTTATTTCTTAAAATATAGAGATGGATTTTATAGATATAATAATTTTTCTTGTGAAACATGAGAGGAAAGTGCTTCGGACAGGAGTCTTCTTCTATTTTGTATTTCTAGCACAGTTGCCCAGCCCATAAAAGATGTTGAAGAAATGTCTTTCAAATGAACTGCCCAAAGACCTCAGGAACTTTCTTAGTTCCGAGTTCTCTGAGAGGAGAGAATCAATCCATTTGGATGATAGCCATTTTTTAAACCCTTTTTTGCTACAGTACTTCAGGTGTTCATATTTGTTAATATTAATATTATTAAAGAAATTCTAGTGTTTTGGTGTTTTTGTTTTTTTACGAAATTGTTTCCATATATATTCTCCTTTTCAGGTTTTGGAAGGAAGGATGTGGTAGAACACTTACTACAGATGGGTGCTAATGTCCATGCTCGTGATGATGGCGGTCTCATCCCGCTTCATAATGCCTGTTCTTTTGGCCATGCCGAGGTCGTGAGTCTGTTACTGTGTCAAGGAGCCGATCCAAATGCCAGGGATAACTGGAACTACACGCCTCTGCACGAAGCTGCTATTAAAGGGAAAATTGACGTATGTATTGGTAAGTATAAGTTGTAAGATCAATCTGACAGGTATAAAATTTGAAATGAAGGTTTAGCATTTTTTCTCTCGTTTTTTTTTTTTTTTAATTGTGGTGCAGATAGTGTTCTCTCAGAATAAATAAAGAAGGCCTTATTACTTTTTATTCTTAGAAGACTTTATTTTCCCCATCAAAAGGGAAGTAGAGAGATGGCAATATAAAGTTGGTTAAGAACAGGATTCACAACATTAACTTTCCAAATGCAAGTCAAATGCCAACTGACGTGGAACTAAATTTTGATGGATTGCTATTATCAAATTTAGTTAATTTATAGTCTCTTTAAAAGACTGCAGATTTTCCATTCTAGCATCACATGCGAGCCATTGTAAAATACAAGTTCTTACTGAATTGGATGACTTACTGGAATGTTTCAGGCTGATTCAGGGAAAGTCATCCAGCGCTAAGGCACAATCTTTTTTCCTCATGTTGCTAAAATTGAATGCCAGTTATTAGCACTGGACAGCTTTGAGTGAGTGGTTCGAATACAGTAGTATTAAAAGCTTAATATTTTCAACATGTGCCATAGTCTAGAAAAACAGCCATTTCAAGTAAAATTAAACTTTTCAACCATTTTAAATATTGAGCTTATATGAAATTGTATTCAACCAACATTTCTTTCTCTTTCATATTTACCTAAATGTGTATATATGTATATATTTTAGATTTTACTTTATTATATAAAAATCTCTCATTTTGAAATCTAAAACAAGCTTCTAGAAGACAAGCCTAGTTTCTTTTGAGTATATCTGTTTCTTGACACTCAAGATGGTGGATGTTTTACCCATGGCAGATTGGTTTTCATAATTGTCTTTCAGGGTGACATCCATTTCAAGTTTAATCTTTCATTTTTATCTTTATGATAAAACTCAAATATATATGTCATTTTTAAAGATACAGTGATGGTGGTGTTATTAAAAATTTCTCCCTCCTCATAGCCATCTATTCCAGCTTCCACTATATTTTTCATTCTTCCTCAAATTGCAATTCCTGACATATAGCTTCTTTATCACATTGTCTTTTGTTATCTTTTCTCCCTTCTACATCTGTTGACCTAAGCCTTTGGGTATCCTGGTCCTTTTTGGATCTCTGAGAGCTTCCATTTTCAGTTGATTCTCCCATTTCTTTCTAAGTCTTTAACTAAAACAGCCACGTCCTGGACTGAGTCATTACATAAAACTACCTGAAAAGCTTGAACTTCTAAAATATCCTCTCTGACCACAAAACCTCTCTTAAGTTACTCGTGTTAAGTTACCATGTGATAATTATTTTTGAATTTGTGACGTAGTCTTACCTAATCTAAACTTTCAACTTCCTACCTTTATCCCTTCTTGCTTTACCTTGTCATATCCATTGGATTTTTCCATCATTAGTCACAAAATTTTATATAGTTTTCACCTTCTTGAATTATTATCCTTTCTAGGCTTTGGTATTATATTTTCTTACCTGTGCCCCTCTGAATATCTTATTGCAATTAATATTCTTTCCTCCTCTTCCTAATCCCACTCCCAAAATTACATAATGAAAATGCACCTTTTATCTAGGTTCTTTTGGAATAAGAGACTAGATGTAGGACTTGAATTTTCACAGAATGGATCCCCGCAGTCCCCCAGCCCCTTGTCCTCGGTGTACTCTGGCACATATTGCTTTCCTTCTGTTTAAGTGCTTGTGTCTTAGAAAAGGTGAGAGAAGGGGAAGGGCACCTTCAAAACTATAATGAAGATATAATTGAGGCTGTAGCTGCTATTAAAATAGTTATTATGGGAAGTAAAATTGGTTATAGATCCTTCTGTACATTTAATTAGCTTTCAGGAATCTATTAAGAAACCAAATATACCAAAATCTCTGATTATGCAGTATATCATATTTTGTGAATTGAGTATAGTTAAGAAACTCTGAAATGTTTCTATTAGGCAAATTTCCACTTTGGGACAACTAGATGAAAACATGAGTCTGATGGTTTGGAGAGATTAGTGTACAAAATTAACTTTTGAAAGAATTTTGCCTAGATGATGAAATCCTAACCTGATTATTTTCAGATTAATCATATCTCCATGTATGAGGTATAATAGTGGCTTTTTTTTTTTTTTTAATTTATAAAAGTAGAGCCAAGCCACGTTGTCACTGGTTTAAAGGAGGCAGCAGGATGGATTGCTTCAAAGCATATGTTCTGGGCTTGTATCCCTGATGTGACCAGTGATCACCTGCTCTATGAGATCAGGGGCCATTTAAGTGCCATGTTTATATGTGAAATGGGAATACTCGGGTTCTTGGGGAATTAGCTGATAACACATTTAAGTACTTAGAATATCTGATACAGTGAACATTAAATATTGATTGCTGGCTTTTTTCACTGAAGTGTCATTGATATAATTTCAGGTATACAACATAGTGATTAGACAAGTTTATACCTCATGCTGTGCTCACCACAAGTATAGCTGCCATCTGTCACCTCACAGTGCTATTACAATTACATTGACTCTATTCCCTGCGCTGTACCTTTCCTCCCTATGACTTACTCCTTCCATAACCGGAACCCTGTACCTCCCACTCCACTGCACGCCTTTTTCCCATCCTCGAACCCCCTTCCCTTTGGCAACCACCAGTCTGTTTCTGCTTGTTTGTTTGTTTGTTTGCTTTTCTTTTTTTTTTAGATTGCACATATAAGTGAATGCATATGGTATTCTTCTTTCTCTATTTATTTCACTTAACATAATACCCTGTAGGTTAAAAAAAACACCCTCTGGGTCCATCCACTTTGTAAATGGCAAGATCTTACACATTTTTACGGCTGAGTGATAGTCCATTGTATGTGTGTGTATACCACATCTTCATCCTTTCATCTGTCAGTGCACACTTGGGTTGCTTTCATCTCTTGGCTATTGTAAATAATTCTGCAGTAAACGTAGGGGTGCATGTATCTTTTTGAAGTAGTGTTTTCATTTTCTTTGAGTAAATACCCAGTAGTAGAATTACAGGATTGTGTGATAGTTCTCCTTTTAATTTTTTGAGGAACCTCCATACTGATTTCCACAGTGGCTACACCAGTTTGCATTCCCACCAATTTCATGAGGGTTCCTTTTTCTCCACATCCTTGCCAACACTTGCTACGTCCTATCTTTTTGATTCTAGCCATTCTGACAGGTATAAGAGCTATTATTGATTGCTATGATTATTGCTAAGATCTCAATCTGAATTGTGACTACTATGTAATGTATACTTCCTGGTTTCTTTTGTTTGCCCTTTATTGACATTTTTTAAAGGCCAATTTAAAGTCTATTCCAACAAAACAAACAAATAAAAACAGACACAACAGTAAACTAGTGGTTGGCAGAAGGGAGGTCAGCGGGGGTATGGGTGAAATAGGTGAAGGAGATTAAGAATACAGACTTAAAGTTTAAAAATCAAAAAATCTATCCCATGTGTTTCTTAGATGCTATTTAGCTACCATCCAAAACAAAAAACAAAAAAGAATACTGCCTAAGATTATTTTAAAAAATCAACTTTAAATGCTTGAATAGTTAAACCAACTACTTAAGGCAGAGGTCATAGTTCATTATAGTAATGGCAATGATATAATCTTTATATTATATCTAACAAGCCTAATTTATTTTAGAAATCAATACTTCTAACTTTAGAACTTACTCATTTCTCTCTACTTCTCTCTACTCCCAGGAATCAAGTCTCTAAAAAATAAAATAAAAGACATCTTCTTTTCTGAATATATGTTATGTGGGTTTTTTTTTTGAGACTATCCAAGTGTTAGTGCTTTGAGGTTCATTTTAAAAACAAGTTGTAGATGTATCTTCTGCAAAGTTAACTGATATAAAGTCTGCCAGAATAATGGACATTTGTCTTTTGTTTGTTTAATTTTGGCTAACTAGTATCCAGCTGCTTTTCCTGATTTTGGAGATTTAAAACTATGATCATTATGGAGAGGAATACACAGGGATGATCTGTTTTGGTCAAGCAGACACACTCCTTCCCCTTCCATATTGTAGAATTTTGAGTACAAAGACTTAGAGATATTTACGATCTTTTTTTAGCATTTATTTATTTTTGAGAGATAGAGAGACAGAGCATGAGTTGGGGAGGAGCAGAGAGAGAGGGAAACACAGAATCTGAAGCAGGCTCCAAGCTCTGAGCTGTCAGCACCAAGCCTGACGCAGGGCTGGAACTAATGGACTGCAAGGCCATGACCTGAGCCAAAGTCCGGTGTTCAACCAACTGAGTCACCCAGGCACCCCAAAAGGCTTAGAGGTGTTAAGGAATCATTCATAACAGCAGTTTTTTTCCTATGGTATTGGTAGTGGCTCTGCCCGTTTAAGGTAGACAGAATGGGTTTTTGTCATTTCCCAGTGTATGTAACACAGAGATCCTGAAAAGAGAGCTAAGTGGAAGTTCTAGTATGGGGCCTTTAAACTAATAAGGAAATCTCTTGAATCTTTATGTAATTCCAACGCATGCACATTTATATCACAGTCCCATCTCTGCTTATACTGTGTGATTCTCAAGGGAGAGAGGGAAAGAGCAAGTTCCCTTTGGAGACTTCTGGTTCTTCAGTGGCCACAGGACAGCCCGCTTACTTCCACAGCAGACAGTTTCAACGGTGCAAGGTTTCATAACACCTGTGGGATTCTCACTGATTGGAATGCCCAGGGTTTAGACCTGAAAACCCAGTAAACCAAATGAAAAATTCTCAGAGGGGAAGATTGAACAATCTGAATGCATACCCCTGAATGAAAAAATAAAAATAAAAAGATTCCATCAGGGAAATTAAACTGTACTATGGGAGAAACTTCCTGGGGCCCAAACAATCTAGATTATTATTTTTTTCAAAGTAAAAAATTCAGTAGATGACTTAAAGACCACATTAGTAGCATCAAAGATCGCATATAAGAAATAACCCCAAGTACAGAGCAAAATGTTAGCATAAAGAAGTCCTGAAAAAAGGTAAATAGACC